GAACTGCCTGCCCCTGAGACGATCTGCGGTTCAATGCAATTATTTGCCCATCGGATTCAGATGCAGCTCCAGGTCTGGAGTTATTCTGCAGCATGATTCGTGAGACTTTACCGTTGCCATAACAACTGAATCCAGGCTTCAAAAATAGTAACTTATTTTTCATTCAATTTGCCTTTTCCCCTCAGAGCCAAATCTATTTTGGTCCTGACAGTTTATTTCAGGTGTCCCTCTCTGATGAACTCCACAGCCCCCAGGCACAGTGCTGTACGGGGACCGGCCCTCAGGGGAGTCGCACCTTCATTTAATTAAGCATCGTTTGTCACCTTTTCCTCTCCTCCCAAATACTCTTCTCATGGACCGTATATTAGTATCCAAAAGCATAGCAAAAAGCAGACACCACCAAGGAGCCCTTGCAAAAGCCTCTCTAAAACCAGGAGGGCTGGAGAAGGAGTTAGAAATGCATTTCCAGGTGGTGGAACATAGAAGAGGATCTCAAAGATGACCTGAACACAAGTGTTGCCAGACAACATGATACCAGGTGCTACAAATCAATGGGACGGTAGATCAGAGAGGTGACACAGATCGACTGCTTTCCATTGCCCCCGGGACTCTCCCTTCTCAGGTCAAGCTGCAACAAATGTTGTCGCTCCTGTCCCTTTTGGGTTGTGTAGGTCCCAGCTCCAAACTTCAAAACAGGCCCTTCAGGTGTCCCCAACAACACCGTGACACTAAATGTATGGAAACAAAGAGCCATGAGGAAGCTGCATGATCAAGTCTGTTTTTTTTTTTAAATAGAGAAATATTCAAAAATCATCTGTTTATGCCCTTTGCTTCTTCTTCCTTAACCAGTGGCTCTTGGTTTTTTGTTTTACACCCAGGCTTCAGCCTGCAGAGAAATGCATCAAGAAGAGTTGTGTGCATCGCACGCAAAATATTCTCACGGCAAAAGAGGAATCTTAACTATATTTGCTTTGGGGTGTTCTTGCAATGAGATGAGTTCTGGATTTCAGTTGGATGGAGCCGGGTGGGACGGTAGTCGGGGTTCAAATCTTCCTGATGTTGACAGCTAAACCAACTTGGAAATCTTAGCATGGCACTTAGCACGCACCATGTCACTTAAGGTAACACTGCTGCACTGCAGCGCTGGCTGTTGCAAGTCAGGACCCCCAGAGTCGCACAGTGCTAGGTCGGGTAAAGGTACTGTGTCCTCACCTGTGTCAGTTCCCAGGATCTGGTCTTTCCATCTCAGCAGGCTTTGCTATTTGCTGCCATTGCATAACGGAGCCCGTATTGCCACTTTCCGAAGCAAATGGATTTAGCAGCAAACCTTCCTCTGTTCTCCATCAATCCTATTCACTGGGAGCACCTACCGGCAGCACTTAAGGCGCAGTAGACAGATTGCTCATTACAGCATCACGGCAAAAACTGTGCTATTACATTAATGCACAGTAGTATTAGTCTACTGCACATGAACTGTCATGAAAAAAGCACGTGATTGCGCTGATGTGCACTAGAGCAGCCACTGCACATTTATTTAGTGCTTTCTTTTGCAAGTGCTAAATGTAATAGGGAGCAGGCACTGTGCATTAATGAATGCGTAGACATGCCCATTCAGTAAGAATCTAGACTTTTTTGACCCAACCTCTCCTCTCCCCTCCACCCCCATTTTAGTAAAAATGTGCCACTCTCCTATTCAGTGGCTAGCACCAGGGTGGGGACGTTGTGCTGAAGTAAGCAGGGACTGTGCACTGGCTGCCTTACTCTGAAATCCCCTTCTTTCCTCTGGGACAATTTCTTACTGTTCTTTTGTAATAGAGAAGTGAAAAATGCTGCTGTGGGGATACTGGGAATTTTATACCAAGTGCACCAACCTCAACTCTTGTTAAACTTGTTAATCCCTAAAAAGCCTCCCTGTATAAGCCTTATCAGCCCCAAAACAGAGAGTAATGCCTCTACTGGATTCTGACTCTCCCAGCCCTTGCCGAGTAGCTTGAACATTGTTTTGAATGTCCACATGCTGTGAGCGGGATGAAAGCTGCGTGCTGTGCTGTCTCCTTCACCACCCCTCCCTCATTTAAATTCATGGGACAGGCAGCCTGCTTCTTTTTCAGCCACAGCCCTTGAAAGTGTGCTGTTCTCTTTGGCTTTTCTGAGTGCAGGCATGTGCATTGTCCATCAGATTATGAAATGTTGTATATGCCCGCATTGGTGTGCATGGTGTATACTGCCAGCCTCTGCTGGACAGAACATGCCATGCCTGCCTGCAAGCAGACAGGTTTCTTCTGCTGATTGTGTCTGTAAAGACTTTAGTTAGCTAGAGAGGCACTTAGGCCAAAAGTGACCATTGGTTTTGTACATCCAGCCTAAGATGCTTTGGCGTTGATCTCTCAAAGGCAATGAGCATCATTTTGTAGCTTCCATAGGAGCTGTGAGCACTCAGCATCTCTAAAAATGAGGCTGAAGGTGTTTTATGTTGGGCAGCCAGCTAACAAGGCAACTTAAATCATAGGATCATAGTATCATAGTATATGATAGCAAATCAATAGCAATGTTAAAAAATGTCTTCATATTTCCTGAGCAGGCAGTGATAGACTGTACTACTATTAATGATACATGCCCATAGTTAAATGGTGACCATGGTGTTGAAAGTATGTGGTCACAGATGGTTACACATCTGCAGGGTAATATAGATGGTTTCCACTTTACAGGGTGGATGCTATAGGTCCAAAGGCCTTAAGAGGGGGAAAAATATTGGACACCTTTAGCTTCATCTTGAGACATTAGTTGTTAATATTATACATGGGCAGGTATTTGCTGCAACCATGTGAATGCCTCCTGCTTCTCTTTTATCCAGAAAACAATATGCTACCTACACCCCACCACCCCAAACTAGGGTCACAGATCTCCTCCCCGGGTAAGAGATGTGGCAACAGTTTCCAGATTTCTAATGGGCTCTGAAGTGTGCGCACATCACTTCACAGATGGAGGCTTTCTCTACGCACACCAGCTGCCCTACTTCCACCAGTTCAGAAAGATAGATTTAGTGAAACCGGCCCAACCCAGCTGCGTTACAGGTATTGATTTAACGATTTGGGTTGAGGATGTGATTTAGATTGGAAGTTAGATTAGCCCAGCCTCCGATGACGGTGCAACAATAATGGGCTAAGGGTATCTTGTGCTGGTATAATTTAACCCGCTAGTTTAGGAGGATAAACTCTCCTGGAATAAACCCCTTTTGATCCTGCTGTTACCCCACTCACACCTGGGGGCTGCTGTTCTGCTTGAACATCTGTATTTCATACTGATACAAGGCTGTACACAAGCTGGGTTTAGCCAAGCTTTTCTATATCGCTTTTGAACTGGCCATTTATGCTAAAATCACCCTTCTGGTTTACTCCAGGACAAAGAATTTTAACCTGGGATCTCACAGACTGCACACACGCGCTGTCCCCCACGATGTATCTGGATTAGCATTTTGCCCTGAGACAGTCAAGGCTAATTTGAGGCAATCGCCTTTCAAGTTGCATGTGTAAACACTCCAGCCAGAGATCCCAGCTCTACAGTGGCAGGTGCAAGCCACATGGCTAAAAACTGGGCTTAACACCTTTGACAAGAGCCCACATGTGAAGCTGCATTCATTTAGTGACGTGGGTTTCAAATTGCCCCTTGAAGTGGAAGCTGCTTTGCCCCTAGAATAGATCCTCCCAGATAGGCTGATGCGTACAGAGGGCCGTGGACAGATGTAACACTTAGAGTGCTCCAAAGAGAGACTGAGCTTGTTCCAAACCATCCTGCTACCCCAGTGTGAGCTCTGCTCCCTCTTCACCTGGGCACACAGAGGGGTGTGGGCAGACGTAACATTTAGAGTGCTCCAAGCTATCCTGCCAATCTGGTGTGAACCCCGTTGACATGGGCATAGAGAGGGGTGTGGACAGGCGTAACATTTAGAGCACGCTAAACCATCTTGCTAATCCAGTGCGAGCTCCACCCCCTGTTGACACAGGCACACAGAAGGGCGCAGGTCACATTTACAGGGCATCAAACCATTCTGCTAACCTGGTGCAAACCCTGCTCCCTGTTGACACGGGCACCCATTTCTCGTGGGCTCAGCTCAGTGTAATGCGGGGAAACCCATGTGGGGTGGAGCCAGCTCCTTCCCCGCTGTCCCCTCCTTAGGCAAACTGAGCCCAGGTTGTCTTCCTCACAGCTTCTGGCATGAATAGGAGCGACCCCAGGTCCCCTCAGTCTGGCAGGTCCAGCAAGCACGCTGGGTGGATTGGGGTGAAGTGATGGAAACCCAGGATGAACCCCACCTTGCCCTGCCGACCCTTTTGTGACTCCACCGGGGCAGGTGCCCCTGGTAGCACAGCCCCAGACTGAAGCAGGAGGGTGCTGGGCACAGCCAGCCGCATCCCCCATCCAATGCCCTGCGGGATGCCCCAGCCCTGCCGTGGGGGCTCCCAGGCTTCATCCCCTCTCCCTGTCTGCCACTCAGGGGGGCTCCATCTGTCTGTCTGTCCGTCTGTCTCCCTCTCCCCACTCCCCCCACCCCCAGCTTAATTACATTTTAAATTCAAATCTGCTGCCATTTGATCTGCAGGGGGTATTTATAGCTCCTCTCCAAGTCACCACGTCGGATAAGAGGATTGGGCAGGTCCTTCTGGCCATGGGCAGGGAGGGATTGTATTTGTCTCTGTCTCTTTCTTCTCTGCTTTCCCTCCTCCACATCTGAGCAGCTGATTCTGTTGCATCAGGACCCAGCTCACACTCCCTCGCTCGCCCGCGGTCTCTCTTAGGTTGCCTTTGTTTTTACTGTATTATTCTCTTGTGCAACAGGGGGCGGGGGGAACCTGAGCGTGGCCTTGATTTTTTTTTTTCTTTCTCCCTAGCATTTTAAACACACGCACAGAGGCACACGCTCACACACTGTGTTAGTGGGGAAAGAGAGCGAGCGAGCTGGTCTTTGGTCCTGTGAGTTGCTACCTCCACATGCCTGAGCCAGAAGACAAAGCAAGAGCGGATGAAGTTGGTACGGCTCCCCCAAGGCTTGCAGCTTCCTCCTTGGGTGGCAGGAATCACAGAGACACCCCCGGCCCCTGCCCGTGGCTGAGCTGAGAACCTGCCTCAGGGATTTAACCTGCTGCTCCTGGATTTCCTCTCCTCCTCCCTCTCTCGCTTTGCCTCTTCTTCTCCCCACATCCGCATCCCCTGGACAAACCAGAGCTGGATTCTCATGGAACTGCCGAGATGTTCATGTCCAGAATCCTGGATTTTCAGAAGACGAGATACGCAAGGTAAACCAAGTGGATGTGCTTTTAAATCTGTGAGTCTAACTGTTTTGCAGCGGGTTTCGAAACACAGAGGATCCCCCTCGCTTCTTCCCTTCCGCTCCGGGAAGCAGGGACTTGCAGGACATAGTCCATAGGTCTGGAAAGATGCTGAGTTCTCCAGAACAAAAGGCAATTGGTGGGTTGGTACCTCCACTTTGGTTTTTTGGGGATAACAGGAAGCGTTTTGTCTTTCCCCAGCATCTCTGTACTCTGCCTTGCAGCATCCCAGGGTGCAGGTCTTATTAATCCCATTTCCTTGACAGAAACTAAGTCAAAAGTGCCCCCCCTGGATTTTGGGTGCCTCGATTGTTGAGTTTCCTTGTTGGGGGTGCTCTGATCCACTGTCAGCCTTTGGAGGGGTGGCATTAAACACCTCTGAAAAGCAGTCCCTGTTTCAAATTGGGGCACCCAGAATCAGCAGTCGTTGTCAAGCCATTGATGGTGTCTTGTCCAAGTTTTTCACAGGCTTATGAACAGGCTGGAAGGCACCTCGCTCCCAGCTCTGGGGCTTAATTTCAAGGCTCTCCATCAGTCCATGAAGGGAGAGAGGTCTTGAACCAAAAGATACCCAGTGATCAGGGGAGCCCCCCAGCATGGCACCAATCTGTTACATAGGGAACTGGCATTTTTCTGAGATGTTCCCATTACAACCCCTTCCCCCCTGCAAGGTTTGATCGCAATACTGAAGTCAGGGCAGGTTCGTTTTTTCCCCATTGTGCTGCTAGCAGCGAGCAAGAGCTCCGGTGGGTCTCCGCATGAACAGGAGAATAAAGGATAATTTGTTCTGTCTTTTCTGACTTAGCTGCTTCCCAGGTGGGACTACATTATTGATCCTTTCCTTAGCCCGAAATAGAAGTCTGCATTTCCAGTGTGGCAGGATCTTCCCTAGAGGTAGTAACTTGATTCAGTGACTCAGATGTGTGAGGATCTACCACGGGGCCACCTGCTTAAGAGGATACCTGAGGAACGATCAGTCCTGGCCAAAGAACTCGTTTCCGGTGCCTCTAGCCAATCCATAGCGATACTCAAGACGCTCACAGGTAAACGGCAATAGGAGATTGCCATGTGTTTGGATAGGGGAAATGCTGTATATACCTGAATCATGAAGATAGGTTTAGGGATGAGTCAAAAGGGAATAATGAATACTGTGATGTAGTGACATTTTCAGGTGAGGTTACAGTGGAAGGACTCGATGAGAGGTGTTTGAAAACAGAATTTCTGTGCTGAATTCAGTCCTGGTTTCATAGTTTCATAGTAGCTAGGGTCAGGAGGGACCTGAACAGATCATCTAGCCTGACCCCCAAGACATAGACCAAGCTATGACATAGACCAGCTAGAGACCAAGGCTTTTAGGCACAGAGCAGGTACTTAGAGCCAAGGTTTCCTGCACACGGGTCCATGGTTCCTTTGCCAGTGTCCTCTAGGGGAAGTGCCAGGGGGAATGATTACATTTTCATATGTGATCAGTCCATGGCCTTCCAAAGAATTGTTACGGTGGGATGGTTTCTATGAAAGACCGTGTTGACTTGTCAGATTCCAGATGGCTACTATCATATTTCTATTGAAAATGACTTTTACAGTCAGTTTGTCCCTGGAACTGGGTTTGTGGTTGCTCCCCGTATCATTCAAATGAAGACTCGCTTCTTGTTCCTTCAGTTGCTGTTTAAGTGTTCTCTGTTCCTATTGAAGAACCATTTTGACGTTGTACATTTTTTTTCTTATTAATTTTGTTGTGGAAATAGGTGAGCTATGTGATAATGTTTTATAAACTTGCTCTCTAAGTTGTTTAAATGCTTTCCTAAACACAGTCTTTATGAAAACCAAGAGAACTCAGAATTGTTTTCACAAATTGTTATGGCAGTCTGTTCAGACGAATGAAAGGACACGAATGCTTAGTGCACCAAAGCAGCACGTATTCCAGAAGCCGATAGATCCCTTTTTAGAAAATCCTTCTTTCCAGTCAGAGGGCAAGATCTGCTAGATGTAGTTAGGCGCATTTTTTTATGTAGTGACTTTTGTGTTGAATGGGTTGCTAAGAGTTGACTCTTAGGACCGGGCGAGCTGCGGTGCAAGTAGATCGAGGCTTGTTCAGTGAAACCTTGGTCAAACCCCTTAGAGATATGGAGAAGTTTTGAGATCTGGGGTATTGACACCAGAGAGCAAAACTGGCCCTTTGGGCAATTTTGTGTTTCAGCATAACACTAGAGCTGTGCTGAAGCATGTACCCAGGCACCCCGGCTGTAAATGGGTACCTGGTCATTCAAGCTGGGGAGTCAAAGATGGCTGGTTGTAGTGTCGGCCGCATCGCTGCTTGGTGTGTCCTTAGCCAAGTGCCTTGATGAACACAAGGCCAAAGCTGGATCCATCAGCTTGGCAAGGTCTTGAAGAGCAAGGGGCCAGAGCTATGCATCTCAGGGTCACAGTCAACATTAAGAGTCAGTATTGGAAAGGAGATCTCCTTCTCACTGCTCCTTGGCTGGAAGTTGGCAGCTGAGTTGTGGGGCTTACGGAGAAGGGGCCTCAATGGAGGAAGGAGCCCCATTATACCGCCCCTTCCCAAACTATATATCTCAGGTGGAAGGTGGATGACCTTTTGGCATCTTCTTGAATCTCTCCCCTTGGGGTGACTCTTGGAGCACTGTGGGACAAACAAGAGCTGCATCTTCCCAGTCCTTTGGAGAGGGATTGCTGTTTCCATGAAGGGCAACCCATCCACTACTCTGCCATCTTCTCTCCCGCTCTCCATGCTAGTGTTTGCTCCTATAGATGCTTACCTGCTCTGGTGGTGCAGGCATGGAAGCCAAGCTACCATTGCTTCAGGCAGTAGCTGCAGGTCTACGTTGCATGCCATAGGGAGCATCTGCTCTCTTCTGTACCCTCTGCCTCATGGGCTGGGATGGGAGGACTGTGCCGGGCAATCTGTATCCAGTGGGTTCTGCTGCCTTCACTAGCAGTGAGTAACCTTAAGGTAGAAACCTGAGGACCTGTGGAAAGTCAGGATGGTCCAAGAGAATCCAGCATGCAAGAAGAGATGAGAAGACTCTTGAATTTCACATCAAGTAATGTAGGTGTTAACGTCAGGGCATGGCATTAACCCAGCATCTCATGAGGTTGGTGCGAGATCCTCTTATCCTCCTGTTTAAAAATAGCAGGTGGATAATTGTGCACTGCAACTCCCACGTTATAGAGGAGATCACATCTCCCCTAACACGGACTCTTTCACCTATGCAGAGTTCAAAAGCTCCCCATGTTGCATCCAGGTAGCAGGGAAAATGGCATTGTTTTCCACCACCAGCAGGTGCACAGAGGCTCAGGCTGTGCTCCAGAGAGGAGCATCATGAAATAGAGAGGTACATTTGCCAAGAACCCAAGGGAAGCCAGCTGGGAGAGGGCCTTGCTGTGCATCTGAAAAGGAAGCAGCTGCTCCCTCCTCTGCCAGACAGACATCTGCAGACCAAGGAGCACATCACCATCTTCTACCTACTGCTCTCACTTCCACATTTGTCTCCCATTGGACTTTCCTCCTTATCAAGAGTCTGATCCTACAAGGCACCAAGAAGTCTCAGCTCCCTCTGACATCAGTGGGAGCTGAAGGGACCTGGTGCCTTCCTGAATCAAGCCCTTACTTATGAAGATTATCCATAGCTTAGAAGAGATGATTTCCAAGGAGAAATGCGGTCAGATGGTGCTTGAGTGGTAGAGTCAGGCAGGGACAAGGAGCCTAAAAACTGGCACCAGGCTTGTTCCTTTATCTGGGTCCTTAGATTACTTCCCTGTAATCTTTTCTATGCCAGGCATGGAAGTGGAACATAGCAATGTCCAGGTTTCTCAGGCAAATTTCCAAGCCCACCAGACTAATGCCGTGGTCATAAGCAGCCAGAGCCGGACACATGATGCAATCCCATACAGTGAGGGGCTGGAACAGCCCAAGGTCCATTGGGAGAAAAAATCTTGTGCAGCTGTGGTGGCTTATGGGAGCCTAGCACAGGGGATTAGCCTTAGGGCTAGATTGCTCACATTGTCAGGTAGGACCCTATTCAGCAACCAGGCCTCATGGGCTTTCTGGCAAGCAGAAGGAACTAGGGTAATCAGTCACAAGACCTACACCGTGGCATGCAAGGGAGGGATGAGTATCCCGCTGGTACATTTGACTCAGGAAAGGGGGTGGGGGTGGTCTGTGTTTTGGAAAGAAGTGCAAATACAGCTCGGCCTCTCAGAAGGGCAATAAGGCATCTGGGCACATGTTGAAAGAGGATGGGAAATGCTCATTTTTGTGCCGTTTATTGCCCCTTGAAAGATCATAAATCCCTAATCTGATAAGAAGTGTTTGGAGCTGCCTGTCCAGTTCAAGAGAGAGCCAACAAAGGCAGAGGTTGATGGCAGCTGGTGGTCAATAAATGCCGCCCCCCGCCAACACACACACACACACATACCCTTGAAAACACATTCAGATGAAAGACCCGTTGCGTAAAAGCCCTTGCACAACCAGAATTAGAAGGAAGCAATCAATGAACGTGTGTTTAATGAACTGCCAGATAAGATGGGAGAAGGTTCTCCACTTACGGGCTGAAAACATTGCCCAAGATTTATCCAAGGTTGGCGCCTTGCTTAAATAGGAGATGACTTCAAAGAGGAGAGGGAGGATCACTGCAGAGCAGGGAAAGAAGAAGGAATTTGAAGGAAGGGCCATATTTAAGAGCAAGAGAAAAGAAACCGAGTTTGATTCCATTTAGTGGGCAGGCGAGTCCCTTAGTCTTAGTATCATTAAGCAGCTTTTTGTTCTAAACAAATCCCTTATTTGAGAGCATCTTTTGCTTTATTCAGTTGTTGAGGGGAGCAGCCCCTTTGCCATTAACATGCTGGGCTCCCTAATGGTGGTCTCAAAATGGGATGTGGACTGTAGCTTGAATGTACCTGTGCCAATACCATGGAAAACCAGCCTCGCTGGGATGTGCTGCTGCTGG